CTGCCACCCCGGTATGTATGCCCCGCCCACACCATGTGCCTGCCCACCACCAGTCCTGTCCTGTCAGTCTATTCGCTCCCATACTGTCTGTTGACGTCTATTGACAGCTGTTCTCTGTTAAGTGGCTGATTTTTTATTTTTATTTTGTCTGTTTAGATATTTTTGTTCATTGTGTTTAGGTTGACAGATGGTACACTGCAGCCCATCAGTCTAAAATAGTATGAATGAATGACATTAAACAAGGTTATTTAACACTGACCTTATATGAAGCCGTCCCAGTGGTCATTCAAACTCGCATATGTTGACATAAAAGCCGATAACTCAAAGTTGGAGTAGTCATATTAAATCAATGGACTTGAGAAGGCCTGAATGAAAACATGTTGAAAGGTCCAAGATCCACAGGTTAATGAGATCTTTTCCACTAGATCCACACAGTTTTTGTTGCCAAATATCTCAATCTTAGATGCATCTAATCAAAAGCCCACGACTCCTGGTAAAGATCTAGCATAGCTTAGCTCTTAGCATGGTGGCAAGATCAACATTGTAGAGTGTAGAGAGCAGTTGCCAAAAGAAAGGGTTCTCTGCGTTTTGTCATATTTATACAAACAGACATTTGTGGATTACTGAATAGTAGTTAAAAGAAAACCAACAAAGTGCATCAGTACATTGATTCAAAGGAATTGTCATGGCAATCAGTGATTATACCACTAATAGTTTTATAAGTGCAATGACTCGAGACATACTCAAAGACAAGTCAAAGATTGAATTTTTCTTCACCATTAATGATGCCCTGCAATCTCCCATACGTCACCCGAACAATCAATGTGCGGTCACAGGATTGCGGGACGTTCGTATTCACAAACGCCTTTCACACACGTTGCATGCACACACCCGTCCTGCTTTAGCATACTACAGATCCCTGAGTATGGAGGTAACAAAACGGTCACATCTTTCCACAGACGGCCTCCTCCATGGACAACTTGGCAATTTCCATCCAGGAGTTTGTAGCCATTTTGTAGTTTGTAGGCAATTCAAATTCTTCATCACGTCTGATAAAACATACCTCAAATGTATTCACCTGCGAACACACACATGAAAAAACGGATAGTGGCAGTGGACTAGCTGAAGCTAGTCAACAATGCTGTCCAAGCAAATTTCTGCATTAAACGTCTGACCAATCACGCAACACCTTGCACAGAGCCCTGTATGAAATAGTTCAAAAATAGCTTGAGCCAGGCCTGGGACAAAATGACCCAGTTTTCTTCATTTATATCAATGAGAGCCGATTTTGACACTTTGGAATAAGTGTCGAAAGTGAGAGTCTTGGTGAGCCCAAGATTCTCACCCACATTCTGCTCCGTTCTCTCCTTTTGCATTTAATTTTAAGTGTAAGACTACGCTAACGCAGTAACACCTGATGTTATTTTGCCGCCATACATCTTTACCAGGGTTGGGGTTAATTGTTGAGGGCAAGTAGCTAGCATTAGCAACTACAAACTAAATACTGTAAACGTTTGAAATCTAAACCGTTAAGTAACTTTTGGACCTAACCTAGTTTTTGGAAGGATTGTCAAACTGAGCTCAGACTTGACAGGTTCAAATATATTAGCTGTGTTTTAGCATTAGCATTCATTTCCTGAAACTAAGCCTAATATGAGTACTGAATGTTATAGCTGGTGAACACGGCAGCGCTTTAGGAATCAGCCAACTTGTTGCGTTGCCATGTAGCTGTGTGTGTTTCCTGCCTACACTCAGAAGGAGCATCAGTCTGACTGGGTTAGCTCCACTGATCGCTCTGCTTTCTGTTTCCGCCACACAACATGCTAACATGCAGCCTAGCACAGCTACGTCTAAGGTAATTCATGCGCGTGTGTGTTTATGATGAAGTGCTTGTGTGTGTGCTGCAGCAGCGCTCCTAGACTTTAGCAGTGATGATGTTAAGTGTGGTCAGTGTGTCTGTATTGTCACCACGTGGTCAAGAACTGTAAGCTGAGCTTAGAGCAGCTCAAACCGTCTCCTCTGCTTTGTTACTGCCTCTTTCAACAAAGAGGCAGTAAACATTGGTCAGGCTAAACGTTTACGCCGCTGTGTTTTCTTTTTTGTGTGTGTCATCTAAACTTTAACAGAACAAAGTTCGTATTTGGCAAAGCGGCTCCCACATCCCCTCGCCTCCTCTGAGCCCTAAAGCAGAAGGAGATGGAGCGGGAGGAGCCGGAGGAGGAGCCGGAGGAGGAGCCGGAGGAGGAGCCGGAGGAGGAGCAGGAGGAGGAGCAGGAGGAGGAGAGGAGGCAGCGGGAGAAAAGGGGATCAACGAGCAGCAGCAGCAGGCCATGCAGCAGGAGGAGCGGATCCTCACGGAGCAGATTGAGAGTCTGCAGAAAGAGAAGTACGCTGACATGCCAAATGAAACCCAAGTAAGACTCCAGAGCGAGGAACCATGACGCCAACTGTTTGCTGTGTTTTTGTGCTGCCAGAGAGGAGCTGACGTACGAGATGCTGGTGTTGGAACCGCGTGCGTCCGACGACGAAACGCCTGAATCGGAGACCTCCATCGGCACAGCGGACAGCTCTGAAAACATCACCATGGAGACGGAAGGAGCCACATCCGACCCCTCTGGTGCGTGAGTTCATGTGTTATATACTGATGCAGACTTTAGAAACTGGTGGCAATAACCCAGGGCGCAGTTTCTTGGGGCATATATTTGAATACATTTTTTTTGCAATGAATGCATGTTTTGATGTCATTGAATTTTCTATAATAGTTATTGGCCCATAGCAGGTGAGTTACAATAATTTTTTGGGATTTCTCTGAATATAAATAATACTCAAAGGGACGTATTAAACCTACCATCATCAGTTCATAACTACTTAAGTATAGTACTACCTATTGATGTGCTGCAATTTGCATTAGCAAAATAATTTTTCTTTAGTTCATAGGGCACCAAAACGGTTTTGATTCAGGCTATAGAAACATGAGTGGATATGGAGACTCAGAGCTGAACTCTGAGGAGAATACATGTCCAGGGAAAGAAACATAAATGGTAAATGGACTGAACCTCTACAGAGCTTTTTCCAGTCATTTTGGCCACTAAAAGCACTTTTTACACTGGAGTCACATTCAGTCACTGATTGATATTCTACTGGTCTTCTGTTAGCGTCACCGTCTGGTTTAGGTCTCATCTCTCTGGCTCCTTTCAACAAAATGTCACTTTTACTCATCACTGTTGTCCCACAAGGTTCCTTTCTGGGTTCCTTCCTGTTCATCACATTCAGTATAAAATGTAATTACTGTACAAACTCCACCTTTTCCTCTGCCTCCCAGGCCCTCAGGTACATCCCTCTCAACGTGGGACAACAAAAATCCAGGCAGGAATTAGATCTACATTCTGTGGTAGATTGAAGGTTAAAGACAAGACAATAGAACATGAGCAATGGACGTACGTCATTGCTTGGTCCATGTCTGTGCTTCTTTTATCAATTCCTCTGCTCTGTCCTCATCAGAACGCGGGACGTATCGATCGAGGAAGTCCGAGGCGAAGACCAGACGGACTCTGCGTCGTCAGCCAGACTCTCAGGACTCGGTCGACTCCACCTCTACTGTCTCCTCCTCCTACCAGCCCTCTTCCTCCCTCTCCTCCATAGCCTCTGGTTCCCCGTCCCCCCACTACCGCTTCCGTTCATCCTCCTCCGGGCCCCTGCTCACCTCCTGCGGCCTGGGGGCCCCGCTGGCGGAACCGGAGGACGGCCAAAGGACCGGAAAGACTCGCCTTAGGCTCAGGCTGAGCCGCAGCTCGCCGCGCGACTCCTCCGGAAGCCATCAGAGGGAGTCGGACTTTGGCTCAGGCCCACAGCAGCTGGTTCTGTACAGCAATAACGAGTTTATGGTGTGATGATGAGGTGGGTGATGAAGACTAGCTGCTGCCGGTTTCTGAAGGGAATTATAGGAAGGTTGCAGGTTAGTGCGGAGGCCCTCCTCTTTGCCCAATCCCATCACCCTCTGACCCAGTTGAAGCTGAGCAAACTGGGGGAGCGACAACACGGAGGGACACTGCGGCAAACGGTCGAGAGAAGCGGACTTGATGATCTGTGCGGACCAATGTGAAGTTAGGACATCTCAGTACTTTATGGCCCCTGCAGGTCTACCAGGGGTCGCTTAAAGAAACAATGAGAGGGGGAAGAAAAGATACTGCTGGGGGGTGGGAGTGTTACTTTAAAAAAAATTCCTGCAAAGCCAAATCTTATAACGCCCCATCTTTATTTTTCAGCATGTGGGCAGGTGGGTAGAGCCACCAAGAAGAAATGTAGCCATACTGACTGAACTGGTGGAACCAGCGCCAAGCTAAGTGTGCTTTTTATCACGTTTACACAGGACACACCAGCCAAGAGGCTGCACGCTTTTCCTCCACTCCTGTCCTTACATCCCGTAGAACAGACTGTCAAAACTGTATTATTGTTGTTATTATTATTATTATTGTTGTTATTATTATTATTATTATTATTATTATTATGTTACAGAGGACGTAAATGTACATAGAGAGAGAGAGTCCAGTGCTGCTCCCGGTTGTTCCTGATCTGTGTCCTTTTTATTGTAAAGTGAAGTGTCAGAAATTCAGGTTCCTCTTTCGTTTCCATTCTGATTCCGCTCGCGTTCCGGCCATTTTTCCCGGAGCCAGTTTGGGAAGAGGCGACGTTCCGAATGTCAATATAGAGCGTCGATTAGCCGGCCGGCAGGAAGTGTGTGTTTTTGTACTTGCCTTTTTGTTTTCAGCACAGGTTTAATTTGGAAACATCAGTGTTACTGCATCAGGACTTGAATATTTTTTTTTTCTTGTTTTTTAACTGTACGATAATATTGCTGTATCATAGGTGTTTATTGATAGCAAAGATGTCATGTTTTGTTAATATTGGTTTGTTATGACGAAAGCCATTTTCTCTCTCTCTCTCTCTCTCTCTCTCTCTTTCTATCTAACACATCTCCTTCACTCGTGTGCATATGTAGCCTCTCTTAGCCTCATTTTATACACTAGGATGTCACACTAACCAAGGGCGAGGGAGGGGCGTCTATCGCCTCGCGCTTACCGACACTTTAACCGTCCATTATCTCCTCTGAGCCACTCAAACTACTCCGCTCTTTCCCGTCATGACCGTAGCTCTTCTCTAACTCTTCTCTCCGGGTTCTCGCTGTGAAACGTAGCATTTAATCTGCCTGCTAACCAAAACAAGTAGCGACTAACCCCACCCGGTCCACGTGCGCGCGTGCTCTTCCTGGCCTCCTCTGTCCGTACCATGACGTCATCTCGCTAACTCCCTCAGTGTTAATCAGCTGACCGGTCTCAGCGGTATGCGGTACTTTGCGAAAGCCTTCGCACCCCTCGAGCTTTTTCTGTCGCCATACGGCCACCAAGCTGCAGTGTGTTTTATCCGAGCGAAGATCGGGCTGCACAAGATTTTATGTCTCATTTTGTGTTTGATTTGCGGAACCGAAAATAAAATCCATCCAGGTTCGTGGTTGTGATGCAGGCAAAATCTGAAAACGTTGGAAGGGGTGCGAGTACTTTAGCAAGGCACTGTAATTGTTTCTTTTAAAAATAATAATGATATAAAATACATTAACTGTAAACCTGTAAGGATTAAAAGAAAAAGTGAATCTGCTTCTGGAAGTGAGCAGCTGAAAGAGCAAAACCGCTCCTCGGTCAGTTATCTTCACAGTAATATTTGTGGTGTGTTTCCATATGACATTCTGGAAAAAAAAACTAAAAAAAAAAGAAAAAAAAACGATTAAAAAAGGAAAAAGTGAATGTAACTGTCACTGGAAGGCATGCCTCGCTTTCAGTCGTTGTTTTGTTCCTCTTTTATACACAGTGTATGTACTATTTATGATCATGGCATTGCGATGTACATTAGTTGGAAAAGAATCTGTTATAAATAGGATATATTATCCTTTCATTACCGATTATTAATCATGGCAACATTTTTCTTTTTTTTCCCCAACAGGCTGCACATGGTTCTGTCTTTTTGTATGTTTTGTTTTGTTTTTTTGTGCAGGGAAAACGGTGAAAAAAAAGAAGTGTTGCAAAAAAAAGTGGACATAGTTAATTATGTATAAGGTGCAATTTGTGTTTTCTTTTTTTAAATGATTTAAACATCTTTATTGTTGTAAGGAAAAAAAACTTTATGGGGGAAAATTTCATCTGCTTATTAAAAAAAAATGCAAAAAAATTGCAGCTAACCATAAGTGAGTGGTGTGATTTGTTGGCCCAGCCGGTTGCATTAGCCTGTACTTGCTGCTAATGGAGTCTATTGTTAGTGCAGACACTGCAGTTAAAAAAGCCAGTTAGCGTTGATTCAAACGTCAGCGTCTTCCAGCTTGATCCTCACTTATTCATTGACCTCTAACTAATACCTGCAAGCGCATCTAATCATACACACTTTAAGTTATTTATGGTGTCCTTATCAGACAGAGATGCATTAATTTGAGCATGTAGATTAACCAGGAGGCAACATTTTTAAAACTGTTAGCCCCTCCAGCACATCCTCCAGGTTCAGACCACATTAAATGCCACATTCTTGACACTATGGAGCTGTATGTAATATCATCTGAAGGACAAACCTGTCAGGGTCCAATAAAAAAAATTCATTTCAATCATTTGATTTAGTATTTAGAAAAATAAATTAATAAATACGTTGTTTGTAATTAACTCATTAAGTGTTTATTAACCAACAAAAACAACAACAAAAAGCAATTGGATCTCTTCTAACGCTACAAAGCATGTCAAAGTAAATATCTGACTCAGCTAAAATGTGCTGTTCACAATACAACCCATTTAAACATGGCAGCTTTGGCGCCCTCTGCTGGACGAGACATGGAAATAACATTAAACCGAAAACCTTCAGCTGAACTCTTAAATTCAACTAAATAGAACTTGTTAGCAAAATAAAGTAGCTAACCGAATGTTGTTGAAGCTTAATAATTAGAACAAATTACCTAAAAAAATTTACCAGGAAAAAAATCATGTTAAATATCATCCGATATGAAACTTTATAGTGTGAGCTCATATATAAGCATACAATTTATTCATTTAATTCTTTTTAATTTCATTATTATAGTTTGTTGTTTAATCTACTGAATTTGCGTCGAGCTGCATGTCGCGTGCCGCGTGCGCTCCAAACACGGACCGCGAAGAGCATCGAAACTTCCCGTTTCACTCAAAGTCAGCTGTGTTTGGTGTTCCGCGGTATCTACGACCTGTTGCGACAGACGGCTGGGACCGAGTCAGAATTGGTGAGTGATTAACGGACTATTGTACGACAAAGGCGGGGAAAAAGAAACGATGCAGACTTGTGTTTCTCTTCAACTAAAATGAAAGTGGAGCTCGGATTTGTTTCCAAATGAGCTGCTATAAATGAAGCTCCTCGCTCCGGCCGGCTTCACAACTCCCACTGCTCAGCTGACGAAGAACCAGACATACC